ATATATATATATATATATAATATACATATAATAAGGATTTATTTATAAATTTTCTTAATTTTTTTTTCTCGCGCGAGTTAACTTATATTTCAAGATTCAGATAATACATACTTTATTTATGGATTTAAAAACTTGTATATTTATTATTTCTAGGCATAAAGGTGTCATTCACGGGACATAGAGGCGAAATGCGAGAGATGAATCAATTATCTGGTGGACAAAAATCACTCGTAGCTTTGGCCTTGATATTCGCGATCCAAAAATGCGATCCTGCACCATTTTACTTGTTCGATGAAATCGATCAGGCGCTAGATGCACAGCACAGAAAGGCAGTAGCAGATATGATCCATGAGCTTAGTTCTGACGCCCAATTTATCACCACGACATTCAGGTGACATAATACAATTAACAGCCTACAAAATTTTGAGATTGATTTAAAATGACGCGGTTGTCATGTTAATAGAACAATGGTTGCATTCGACAGAGAAAGTTTTGCAACTGTTGTAAAATTCTTCAATACGATTGAATCTTGTTTTTGATTCGTTATGAATCTACATAATAAACCAGTCATCATATTGAAGAATTTTACAACAGTTGCTAAACTGTTGCGAACTCAGCCAACAGTATAAAAACTAAAAATGTGTTTATTTCGTAGACCGGAATTACTGCACCATGCAAACAAATTCTATGGAGTGAAGTTCAGGAATAAAGTTTCGCATGTCGAATGCGTGACTCGGGAAGAAGCGGCTGATTTCGTCGAGGACGATACAACGCACGGTTAAAATATTTATAATCTACAATTTTTTTCATGATTTCAGAAGATGACACATATACAAATAGATCAACTTTGCTATGATTTCCGTCGAAATTTTCTTCTGAATATTGGCAGGTTAGGTGTTTTAGATACTTTACGTAAGAAATCGCATAAAGAGAAAAAAATTAATCATTTATGTTCAGTGTACATTCGGTTTTTTTTACATAGATCATTGTAATCGAGTCATGTTACACATGACAAATAATAGAAAACGCAAGAGTTTTAATCATTTAATATTTTATTTGTAACAGATTACATGTTATGAAACCATCACAAAATGATAATTGAAATTTGGTATATATATATGAACTGTTTTTTATATTATAAACTTTATAAAATAAAATGACTATGATAAACACATCAGTTTATGAAATCTCACAATTGTTCCATTATAATCAGGATGGTTGTTTTAAGTGGATATAAGAAGGACAATAAATGATTCCCAGAGAAAGAGAATTCAGTTTAAAAAGATGTTTATTCGAGTTTTCCTCTCTTATTGGTTATCATCCTAGCCTGTGACTCCGCATTCATTATATTATGACTAATTTCCATACTAAAAGCACTAATTAAACCAACGGTAAAAGAAATGTTAGTGTGTGCATCATATACAGAAATAATTTTATGAAAATTTTTACTAATTTAAAGGATGGGTATATATTTTAATTTTAGATTATTTTTACCTAAAACATACAATAACTTCCAAAATGATAATATTCACGGTTCAGCCATCGGAATAGTTTTTGTTAAATGTAAATATTCATTTTTCGCAGCTTCACAATTACACTTCATTTTTGCACAAAGAGCCTCACTATGTATGCGTGTGTGTGTGTGTGTGTGTGCGCGCGCGTGCGTGTGTGTGTGTGTGTGTGTGTGCGTGTGTGTGTGTGCGCGCGCGCGTTTGGTATACACATGATCACCATAAAAAGTCTTGCAATGCAAAGTTATTGATGACACTAAAGGCCACTGCGTTTGCACGAAAGAATCATGTGTACAATGTAACTTTTATTCCAAATGGCTTTTTGAACACAGATTTTAAGAGCAGTATGACGATAAGTATCCCATATGGCTAATGTATCTGCAATACACGAATGCGAATTTCCTTAATATTAAAGGAACTTGTGATAGCAGTGTTATTCTTCTTTTATTACAAGTATGTTGTATGTAGTTCCTTACATCTTCAATGAATAGCAATGAGACCAGATTCCAGAAGTTTTTGTAATTTTGCAGCTATATCGGGATTTTTCAAATGGCTGTGCAAAAAGAAAAGAAGAATTTATTAAAATTTTCGTATAACACACAATAGAGAAATGGGTGAACGTTTTAAAAAGAACGCTACTTTGCGTATCATTGGATTTTCAAAGAATCTTTGAGATACATAATACAATAATAGAACATAAAATAATAGTAGCTGTTGTGAATGACGAGTGGCTCTGTATGAGAGTGATTAACTTATAATCAAGTTTCAAGACTCCCGAAGTCTGATTCCTATAATTTCATATATTGTTATCAGATTATAATGGTTTTCTATAACAAGCCATTACCTAAAGTTTTAAGCAGTTCTTTTATAAGACATAAAAAGTCAAACATCATAATTGACTATTCTTCTTACGTTTGACATTGGTCAATTTCTTATGACTCAAGACTTTTAAAGTTTGAGTAATGGCTTATTGTAGAAACTGTAGGAAGCCATAAAAATTGATTTAAAGAGCTGACAATTTGAACAAAGGAGATATAAGATGTAATTGTAACACTCATTTTGGGAACAATAAATTGATACATATAACATCTGTCTTGCTTAAAACAGCAAAAAAATTTTATCAACAAGATCCTCTTTAAAATGGGTATTTGAAAGAACATTTTCGCATGTTAATGAAGGTTTACTATTTGATACATACGAACGTTTATTCAGAATGAAAAGCAACCTAATACTAAATCATTTCTCTAGGATATTAATATGTATATAGAATGTTAATACATTACTTACTCTTGTAAAGCTCTTGGATCGCTTTGCATTTGTTCTAGGATCAATCTCATGGCTGGATCTCGCAATATACTCTGGATCTCTGGGTCTGCCATAGCTCTCTTCCGCACTTCTTCTGGATTCGAACTTGCGGATACGGCGCAAGAGCGATAGCCCTCTAACGCCTCGCTATTCTGTGGATCCAATTCCAGAGCCTTCTGATACGCTGACAAGGCTTTCCCCTGCTGCTGCATAGCTTGCAAAATTTTTCCTTTCCTAATCCAGCCCTTGATGAACTTTGGATCCAGCTCGACAACTTTCTCGCAATCCTTCAAGCCAAGATCAAATGCCGCCAGTTTAGTATAACAGGCTGCTCTGTTGCTATAATACTTGGGATCGTCCGGATTTCTTCGGATTGCCTCGGAATAATGCTTAATAGCGGCAGGATAATCGCCATCCTTATACTTTTGATTTCCAAGTTCCTTTTCTTCTTCCGCTTTAACCGGGTCGATGTAAGCCTTCCTCTCTTCCTCCTTGATTATTTTGTCTATATCCGAGAGTAAAGTTTTAATCTCCGGCGTTCTGTGCTCAGACATAGACTTTTCATAATATACCTTAGCCTGCTTCCAATTCTCCATTTTTTTATATGCGTGACCAATTCTCGTAAATGCTTTTGCTATCAATTTGAAATCCGCTCTATTTTCTCTACCAACCTCAATAGCTTTCTCGCATTGAGCGATACATTTTCGATACTCCTTCTGTTCGAAGTACACCGCCGCTATATTCAACAAATAAACAATTTCCGTCGAATCCAATTCCACAGCTTTGTTGTAATGCTCCAAAGCCTCCTCGAAGCTCTTCTTCCTATATGCCTCGTTGCCGAGTTTCTTCTCTTCCAAAGCTTTTCTCTTTTCGGGTGGAAGATTATCCTCCTCCTTCTTCTGAGGCTTTGGTTCTGGTTTGGACTTTGGTGGTTCCGGTGGATTCATCGGCTCGGTTTCCATCAGTTCCTCCATGTCAGCGCTCATTCCTAACAATACGCTAAGGGTGGTGAGTACTCTGGTGTCCTGGAGCTTAGTACCGAGACTCTGTGGATTGGTTCGCAATTCTTGTAGTAACTTCATATATTCAGGATCAGATAGATATCCCTTCGTTCTAGGATCACTGGCCAACTTGAGGAAGATATCTGGTGAATTGAATGGATTAGTTACGGCAGCTGTTTTCTGGGCCCTCACCTCGGCCAGACTGTTTCTGAGCTGTAAATTGTTTGGATCCAGTTGTAGGCCCTTCTCATAAGTTTTGATGGACTCGTCATACCTGCCCAGGTAAGCAAGAGCGCTGCCCTTACGCGAATAACCCTTTCCCCAGTCTGGCTTCAAGCTAACAGTCTTTTCGGCATCCTCCAGCGCTTGCCGATACTTTTCAGACTTTGCATACGCCGCTGAGCGATTACTATAGAGAACGTGATTATTGCTGTCCAAGGTGATGGCATCTGTGTAACATTTAATGGCTTCATCATAATTGCCAGTTTGCAAAGCAGCATTTCCTTTCTCTTTCAATGAAGCTACCTATAAAACAACACAAGAGTGTAATACTTGGTTGTACACAACAGATATTATTTACTTAAAATTGTTTCAAGTATAGTTCCAAGATATCATATCGATCACTGTATATTAGCATCTCAGAACATTAATTGAAGTTAATTTTACAATGAGTCTACAGTCGGAAGTCTAAGGGCCTGGCACACAAAAAAACTTAAGGAAGTAAGATGTAAGCAGTAAGGAAATCAACGTTGTGGATTTGTTACTGCTTAAGTTATGGCCCCTACTGTGATTGGTTAATTTGCTTACTGCTAAGTCTTACTGCCTTAAGTTTTCTTGTGTACCAGGGCCCTTAATCTTAATCGGTGAAGTTAAACAATCAGCATACATGTTGGCTATTGGTCAACTTTACTGCTACTATAAGACTTGGGACTACTGACTACCAACTCATTGTAGAATCAGCATAAGACATCTTGAAATAAGAATAGATTATGAATATTAGCCTGTACATGGTTTTTTTTTTTTTTTTATAATAGTGGTGCCCAAAGGATGTATTTTGTACTTGAAATTAACTGATTTGAAATTTAATATATACCCGTAGAGGATACGGTATCTTTTGAATTAATAAGTTACGATGAATTATCTAGCCTTATCAGTGCCCTTGTTTTACTTTTCTAGGATCGGCTGGATGGGAAAAACGAGTAGTCGCAGAAGAAATTCGTCGAGGGGGCGAAGGAGGGGGGAAAGGATAAGGAGCAATCGTCGACCTCGCGGAACGTGACGAAGCGTCCCTGAGGAAAAAGCGAGTGGCAAGCACGCTTTACCGTCGCGATCGCGCGCGTAAATCCCCGTGGATATTTATCAATATTTACGGGCCTCCCAACGTGCCCACAACGCTTACCTGATCACCCATTACGCACGCTGAAAATGTTGAATCTCTATCTAGTTCCCAACGATCGTCCGTTCGATCGAGCAACAGAGACACGTTCAATCTCGATGATGATTCGTGCGAATCCTCGTGAATTCTCTTGCGTGCCACCGGACGCGTGTAATATATGCCGGCGAAGATCTCGGAAAGCTCCAGAAACGGACAAGCAGCGACATCACGCTACTACTTAACGAACGTGTAGTGTATATATGCATGTGCTACATATACACAGCGTGTTTGCAAAGTCATGCCACAGTATATACAGGAGCGCAACTCTCCCGATTTTTAGAGTCCTAGATATTAGTGACCCTCTAATAAGAGTCTGG